GCTCTAACCTCTCAGTGTCTCGCCGCTCTCGCCGCCTGTCCTCAGCCTTTCCTGGAGAACCATGTTCTGTGTCGAAGACCGAAGCAGCAACTGATTTCCTCCCGTGTGAGTCATCAAAGGGTGGACCTGCAACCAGTAAGTCACCTGCTGTGAGAACAGGGGATTTCATTTGAAAACAGCATTGCTATCACAATAAGGTGGCTTGATTGCGACACTATGAAAAGCCACATTTTATTGTGTATCAGCCTTGTTTTTCTGGCAACACTTGAAACAAAATATGCTACTGATTGTCTTAATCGCCGTAGTCACATCTTTTTGTCTTAGTTTTAAGATTTCAAGAAAGACGAATACAATGGTGATGGAAGGAGTCTTGATTTGGGTTGGTGAACACGCAATACAATATACAGATGATGTATTCTAGAATTGTACCCCTGAAACCTATATAATTTTGTTAATCAATGTCACCCCAAATAAATTCAATTTAAAAAGAAGGTGAATAGAGCTGAGAAGACGTATCAGATGTGTCCTAGAAATTCTCCTTGCGGACAGAGGGCAGGGACTTCCCTCTCTTTCCTCCTCCATTGCTAAGCCCCAAGTTTCAGTATCCAATCTTCCCCCATCAAAATATTAGTGTGGACAGTTGAATCCACGCTATCCTTGGCTTAGCAGTAACTGATAATTTTAAGAAAACATACCTGTTTCTCTTTTCCTTATATCTGCAAAGAAAAAAAAAAGATTAAAACCTTTACTCTTCAAGTCTTAGTTGAAAAGTCATCTCAATGAGGCATACTCTGAGAATTTAAAATTGCAACACCATCCCGTTCTAACACTAACTACTTTTATTCAGTCAATGAGATTAAAACCTTTACTCATAATTTAATGGTAGCATTCACCTCTTCAAGTCTTAGTTGAAAAGTCATCTCCATGAGGCATACTCTGAGGATTTAAAATTGCAACACCATCCCGTTCTAACACTAACTACTCTTATTCAGTCCAGGATTTCATCATCTTGTCATATACCATGTTACTACTCATAATGTTTATTGTTTATTGACTGCTCATTCTACATTTTGAGCTCCATAAACTCAAGGTGTGTTTTTTTGCTTGTGTGTGTGTGTTGTTGTTGTTGTTTTGCCTGTTTTATTCTCTGAGACATCCCAAGTGTCTAGAACAGTGCCTGAAACACTAAGGACAATCAACTAACATTTACTTAACAAATGCATTCATCAACAAAACACTCTTGCTAAGGTAATATACACTATATTACATGAGATATTCTATGCTTTCTGTCAATGAATACACTATTCCCATAAAGTTGTGGCAAACATGCATTTTGATCACTGACTAGACAAAATGAAATTCATGATTTATAAGTAAAATTTGAAGACTATGTAAAAATCAGTACAAATAAAAATAAGACACAATTCTCCCTAATGAAAATAAAGGAAAAGAGACTCCCCTCCTCTTTTTTAGATCCTTTACTTTAGAAAACTTGTGAGTTCTTTACCTACCTTCTTGATCTAAAAGTGCCTTATAAGAAAAACATATAAAAGTAATCTTGGGCTATTTTGTTTCTTGTATATGTTAGACTGGAATGATAGTAAATTTATATTGATATTAGCAAAAATATTATTGTTAGATTTAAGAAAAATTCCATGAAAGCAGTCTCGATTTGCTGTGGCTTTTTATTTTGGTGGCTAGGGAAACAAAATAATGGAAAATATTCTATGATATTCAATTGCCCAAAGGAATCAGTAGTAAAACTGTTAGGACTAGTTGAGTTTAATTAAAATAGATCACGAAGGCATTAATCCCACAGTGCAAAATAAGTGCATGTTTTTTCAATAAAAATATAGGAAAGTAAAACTTTAAATCCACATCCATATTTCTCATATAAGTATGTGATTTTAGAAAAGCTAATAATCAAAGCAATTTCCCATTTCAAATGTCACCACCTTATAAAAAACTGGTTGAATATTAAAATGTCTGACCCAAATTATACAAAAATACACTAGAATATGTTTGTTTGTAATAATAAGGAAGATTTCATGAAGTGTTTTAGTGATTTTTCCAGTAAGATATGCTTTCTTTTCAAAGAAAAGCACTGCCGCTGTGTTGTTACTTGGTATAAAGAGTATAAGGAAAGAAAACCAAATAATTTACCTGAACTGCTTTCAGCTACTTCATTATCTAAAGAAAAAAGAAGAATTGCTGTCATTACTAGCATATTTTACAGATTTGCCAGTAGAAAGTGAATCTTGATTACAGTCATTTCTTGTCCTTGGGAGGTGTTCCCACAGAGATAGGCTCATTGAGTTCAATACTCAGACATGAATATGGAAATTATCCATTGACCATGGTATGTTTATACCCCTTCAGAACAACCTTATAAAAAGAATACGTGTGCCAGTCCCCCAGCCACTTTAGAGTACAGCCTAGTGATGCATGAATTAGAACGCAGCAAAATACAATAATCCTTGGATGATTGCAAAGGTTCTTCACAGCATTAATTATTATTCAGTTGGTGAAGCAGAGATGTTTTAGTGAACAGATTTTTTTCATGTGGCAAAAATACTGTGTACACTTAATTTACTTAATTTGAATCAAATGACCTCAATTTTTATTTTATAACTGGATCCCATAAAATTAATGTACACATAGTTTACAAATGATTTAAGGGTTATTATGGTAAACCAAAGTGAATTTTCTTCATATTTAAATAAATAGCATAAAAATTTGCAAACTTGTCAACTCTAGTAAGTACAACTGAGTCAATGACTCATAATAAGAGTGAGTATATACAACAAATGGCATAATTTATATATAAAGATATTTTTATAAAAAACACCAACATCATTGTTATCCAAAAGAATTTTCATAATAATTATGTGAAATTAAACATAACAGAATGGCAACAACAAAATTTTGCATAAAGTTGCATCTTGATTATATATTCAAGAAACTTCAAAAAACATTTTGGATAACATTTTTATTTGGGGACTTAATGGATTGTAGGTTGTTGGTTATTTTTCAATGCTTCTCCATACTCTATAATTTTTACAAATTTCCTAACTCAAACTGATGACATTATTCAAATAAAAGTCAAAGCATATGGTCGTATACTAAGACAAACTTCTAAAAATTAGAACTGTCCCAGAAAATCAAGGATTTGTGGTCAGCAAACCTACCTCAGACCTATAGGTGTAAATTAAGACAAACAGCCAACACAGCCAGTTAAAAGACAAAGGGTTTCCTATGTGTGCTGATAAATTGTTACCAAAACCAAATTGTGTGTACTTGCACAAGTACATGCACACATATTTAGCTGAAGGCTAAGAAGTAATCGTTTACAGATATGGTTTGAAGATAATATAAATGTTTCTAAAAAATGTATAATAACATATCCTCCATATAGGCTAAATACCTGGAAGAGTCTCTCTAAAATATAAGTTGAGTTATATTAAACAAATAGAGTTATCATAAAACCCATGCATGAATTTTATCCATAGGGATAATCCCACAGTGTCTCAGAGTGCACTCTATTACTACAAATACTAAGCTAATGAGCTTGGATTGATGGTGTTCTCACCGCAGTTGACTGAAAGAAGTAAATAATATTTGGAACTGTGTACAAAAAAAGCAGATTTGGTGATCTGATCAGGATATAGAGCTGGATGTTTAACAGAAGTAGGAGAGACAGAAAAGCAGACACAGTAACTCAGAAACCATCTCTGGAGTAGGAAAATCTTAGCTTAAGAAATTTTCACTACAAAATGTTCTTTTGGTGATGAGTCTTTCAATTAGTGATATTTTCATGATTTGCAGGTCTTTAGTCTTAATGTGACTATAACTTTAAGATAGTCATTAAAGGATAAACTGTGATGAAAAGTAGTAACAAATACTACATACATCTTGAGTAACCTCTTCACGGATATTTCTAAGCAGATATATCCTGAAGACAGGCTTGTAAAAGCTGAAATAATACCCGAGAGGTTGAAAATCCACGTGTATGTTTTTTAATTTAATATATTACTCTAAGATGTTGTAAAATTTTCCAAGAAAAAAGTGTTTGAAGCAGAAAACACCAATTAAGCAAACGTATACCTAGATCTATCGCATTTGAAAGGATCTTTCAGTTAGTCCCTTACCTTTGCAGAAGACACAAAGTGTCACAACCCAGTACAAAGAGGTCAACTTCATGGTAGTAATTTGGGACCTAGAAATAGAGACAGGTCATCGTGGAGAAACAGATCCACAGCGGACCCTCAAACTAGAGCTTTTATACCCACTCATACCACCGTCTCTCGTCATGGGCTAGGCGTGGTAAACTTAGTGATGACAGAACAAAGGTAAATATCACGGCATGCCAAAGACGAAATCCATTTCAAGTCAGGTTTGTGTCTTATTTATATGACATCTTCTCTCTCGGACCCAGTCCAGTTCATGCCAAACCCAGCCCTGTGCAAACAGCGAAGGCAGGAACTAAAAGTCTCCGGATTAAACACCAAACAGGATGATGATATGCATTTATCTGTCCCCTATTCATCATTGCAAAAGCCTTAATACCTCAAGAAACTCAAATATTGTAATTAAATATTTCAATTGCCTCTGCCTTTACAACAAACGTGTTTTTAACATTAGGCTACCTTGAAACAAAGAACTCTTTATTTATTGACTAGAGGCAAGGTGCACGAAATTTGTGCATGGTGGGGGGGGAGGGGCTGGGGGGCGTCCCTCAGCCCAGCCTGCACCCTCTCCAATCTGGGACCCCTCAGGGGATGTCCGACTGCCTCTCGCAATCCAGGACTGCTGGCTCCTAGCTGCTCACCCGCCTGCCTGATCGTCCCTAACCCCTCTGCTTGCCTGCCTGATCGCCTCTAACTGTTCCCCTACCAGCCTGGTCACCCTGAACTGTCCCCTGCTGGCCTGATTGCCCCTAACTGCCTCTCTCACCCTGCACCCAGGACCCAGGCTTCCCTCCTTCTGGACAGCCACAGGCACCCACGACCTGAGCCAGCTTCACCAGGGACGGCCGCAGCCGCAGGGGGCTATGGGCTGGCAGCTTCACCCAGTCCACAGCCACAGGCACCCAGGACCACGGGGTGGGTGGCTTGTTCCTCTTCCGGGCCACAGGCACAGGTGCAGCTGCTGTCACCTGGGACCACGGGGTGGGTGGCTTGTCCCTCTCCTGGGCCACAGCCTGGCTGGTCCCCATTCCTCTCTTCCCTAGTGTTGAGTGTCTTAGTTGTTATGGCATGATGGCATGAGGGCATGATGACCGTTTGCATATTAGCACTTTATTACATAGGATATGTCAATAGATATACAATGAGAAATGTATAACCCTCACAGAGATATAGGTATAGATAGGTACTAACATACTAAAGTATACAAATGTACCACAGTTATAGTAATAGCATTATTATTCACAGGATACATAATGCTCCAACAAGATACTTCATAATGAATAAATAAATAAGTAGAAGACATGAAAATGAGACTATCAGAAAAAGAATGTTTTAAGACAAAAATAAAATTAAATAGAACCATGCATGAATTTATATGTAGGTATTCCGGAGTGAAGGGAGGAAGTTCAAGTTAGGGTTTAAGAGGCGACTGTCTGGCCTGTGCTAAGCAAGGCAGAGAGGAGTAACAATCCAGGAATCCAGGTACCAACCAGGTGGGCCTGAAAAATAGAAGGGCCAACTCCCTCGCTTTGATGAGAATCTGCTTTAGTTCTGCTACCAATCACTACCAAGAAAAGACTTCAGTAGCTAAAGAGAACACAGTCATCTGTGTATTTTCTCCACTCATTTCCTGAATAACCTAAAGGAAATAAAAAGGTGGATAGTGAACGCTTTTATTCATATGCTCCCTGCTTTAGGAAAGTGGCATTTCTTTTTCTTTTTCTATTTTTACTAAAAATAATAGATTTTTATTTGCAGATTTCAGTTGTGCTGTGAACTTTGCAAAAGACAAAAACAAACAGCAAAAATGAAATGCCAGAAAATAACCAAATGAAAACTGAGCCTTCCAAGGAAGTAGCTCTAAAGGACAAATGAGAGTGAGCATCAGAGTGAGGTGCCAAGGGGTAGTGGCAGCCTGGAAACCAGGAACCGAGCACGCTCCTGTCTTTATTTGTCCATGAACTATTTGGTTTGTTCGCCTTGGTCCATGAATGCCCCATTTAGCAGCATTCTGAACTCATCAAACCCTCTGATTTATAGCTACCCAGCACTGGGCTGCTCTTTGAAAGCTATTTTCTTTGTTCTTACCAAATTTTTTTTTATTGAATTTATTGGGGTGACATCGGTTAATAAAATTATATAGTTGTCAGGTGTACAATTCTATAATACATCATCTGTATATCTTATTGTGCATTCACCAACCCAAAATTAAGTATCTTTCAATCTCCATTTATGCCTCCTATACTTTCTCCTACCTCTCCCTACTCCTCTCCTGCAGGAAGCCACCGCTTGCCAATACTGTCACGAGAGTGCACGAAGGAATGCGGAAGGCCGATGGACTGATGGATGGACTGATGCTAAGCACCCCATCTGTTGAGACAATGGTGGCTCAAGGCAATTCCCTAACCTGATAATCCTTTTACTGTTTACCAAACTTTACCTTTGATCTGCTGTATGCATTGCTAAAGGGCAAATGTGTGTTCAAGTAAATAAAAAGCAAACCGGCCAGAGGTCAGTGTGTTCTTCATGAAAGAGATCCCCCACGCTGGCCCCAATCCCTTCTAAATTCATATTTCTTATATAGCATTTTCATTGGTGTGTCGGCCCCGTCTTCAGATCCTGAACCCCGCCATGCAGGTGGCGGCACCCTCCCCATCTGGCAATCTTATACTCTTGTCTATGTCTATGAGTTTTGTGGGGGTTTTTATTTAATCCTTTCACCTTTTTCATCCAGCCCTGCAACCACCCTTCCCTCTGACAGCTGTCAGTCTGTTCTCTGAGTCTGTTTCTATTTTGTTAGTTTATTTTATTCATTAGATTCCACATATGAGTGAAATTGTATGATCTATGTCTTTCTCTGACTGGCTTATTTCACTTAGGATAATGCTCTTCAGGTCCATCCATGCTTTTGCAAAGGGTAAGATTTCCTTCTTTTTTACATGCAAGTAGCATTGAACTGTGTAAATGTACCACAGCTTTTTTATCCACTCTTCTACTGATGAACACTTGGGC